AAATGTTTCAACCCAAGCTTTCTATAAACAGATAAAGGCATCAATGAAACACTACCACCTAAATCACATAAAGCTTTATCAAAACAAACATCACCCATAGAGATAGGAATACAAAAACTCCCTGGATCACTCAATTTTGGAGGCAACTTCTTTTGAATAACAGCACTACACTCCTCAGATAATGCAATTGTCTAAAAGTCTTCCACTTCTTTTCGGTTGGAGATGATCTCCTTCAAGAACTTCCCATAAGCAGGAATCTGAGCTAAAGCATCTGCAAAGGAATGTTAATATGCAATTGCATAAAAATTTTCAGAAATTTCTCAAACAGCTTATCATGCTTGGTCATATGGAGTCTCTGTGGAAAAGGCACTGGTGGAACATAAGGTTTAAGCGGTGGTGGCACATATATCTTTTCTTCCTCTTGTTCCACTTTCTCCACTTTTTCTTCATCACTCTCTTTAATCTCTTCTTTCTTCTCATCAGTGGTCACATTCACTTCAGTGGTCTTTGGTTCCTCCTTGTCACCCAACTGCTTCCCACTTCTCAACGTGATAGCATTACAATTTTCACGAGGGTTGATTTCAGACTTGCTTGGCAGTTGACCTTGCCCACGAGTATTCATGGCGGAGGCCATTTGACTCACTTGCATCTCTAAGGTCCTATGAGCAGTAGTCAATTGATCTAACCTTGATTCTATTCTATTAGACCACTCATTATTATCACTGAACAATTTCTCAATTCTCTCCAAACATGACTCCATTGCTGGCTTAGGTGCAGATTGATATAACTTTGCTTGGAAACCAGGAGGGTTTTGAGGTCTTGCATTAAAGTCTTGAGCCTCTTGATTGTCCCAAGAAAAGTTTGGATGATTTTCCCAACTAGGATTGTAGCTGTTGGAGTAAGGATTGATCTGCTGTTGAGGCTTGCTGAAGTTGGAAACTTACTGTGCACTTGCCACTTGTATACAATCAGAGCTCAGATGAGGGCCTCCGCAAATTTCACAGACAATGGCATGAGAGACTGCATTAGCATTGTACAGATTCACATTTACTAGCTCACCCACCGCCTTAGTAAGTGCATCAATCTTTGCATTCATGAGACTACTACCGTTGACTTCATACATCCCTGCAGGCTTCTTAGAAACACTTATAGAATTTGACCACTGATTCATATTCTTCGCCATATTCTGAACCAAATCATAGGCTGCATCAATAGTCTTGTCTATTAAAGAACCTCCAGCTACAACATCTACATTATTTCTCGCAAACTCTGTCAACCCTTGATAGAAAGTCTGAACTAGGGTACTCTTCTCAATACCATGGTGAGGACATCTTCTTTTCAATTCCTTGAATCTTGTCCATGCAGCATGGAATGTTTCATCCTCTTCTTGAACAAATCCAGTGATCTCATTTCTTAATCTTGCTGCCTTATTTGGTGGGAAGAAATTGTTCAGGAACTCTTTGTACAGTTCATCCCAAGTTGTGATGGAATCGGGATCACAGGTGTTTAACCAACTCTTTGCTTCCCCCCTCAGTGAGAAAGGGAAAAGTCTCAGCCGGATTGCATCTGACGTCACTCCATTGATCTTAATAGTATCACAGATCTCTAAAAAATTGTCTATATGAGCATTTGTATCCTCATTGATGAATCCGGAGAACTGATTCTGATGCACCATTTGCATCAAGGACGGCTTGAGCTCAAAGTTGTTGGCAACAACAGTAGGCCTAGTGATACTTGGCCTAGAAACACTTTCACCTGGTGTGAAGTAATCCCTTAGAGTCCGATTGTTGTTTACATTATCACCCATGTTGTCACCCTGATTCTTCTCTTTCCTTAGCTTTGCTTTTTTTCTGTTTGCACGAGTTGTTCTCTCGATTTCTGGATCAAATTGCAAGTTCTCAGGATTAGCACTTTGCATATAAAAACCAAACAAAAATAAAACCAACCAGGATAGCAATAGAATAAAATAAAGATAAAAATAAATCAAAACTAATAAAAGAAAATAATTTAAGTTAGATATTAGCTACCTTCCCCGGCAATGGCGCCAAATTAGACAAGCCGTCGTCACCACTAGTCAAATAAAATTAGCTACTTAACACTAATATAGCGGGAAATAGGGTCGATCCCACAGAGAAGGATACCAAGTACCAGGTTAAAATTATTTCTTATTATTATTTAGACAACTAATAATAATGATTTTAAATTAAACTAAACCTAAAAATAATAATTAAATATAATTAATCAAATAAAAGAAAACCTAGGGAAAAGGGTTCACCTACCGACTACTCAGTTTAACTCAACATATAGATATGTGACTTTGGACTTTCATTAATCTCACAACGATTCACTTATTTAAGAACTATTCACTGTCGTGATATAATTCTCTTACTCAAACTAACCCTATGACTACTGTCGTGACTATAGGATTTAATTAGAGTACCTTAAGAACCCTAGAATCTATAACTGCAAAGATGGTGTTCCTACTTTCGTGGCCCACTATCTAAGTTTAATATTCCCAAGAATTAGTGCTAACCTTCAACTGTCGTTCCTTCAGTTAAACACTTTTAAAGCATGCAAGTGGTGATCAAATACTCACATGGAATAAAAACAAGAATATTAAATATCAACTAATGAAAAAGTCACAATCATGAATTAAATTAAATTAAATAGTACGGCGGCTACATCTAAAACCTTAGATTAAGTAATTTAGCTACTCATCATCTCAATAATAAATAAAACAATGAAACCCGAGAGACGTAGGCCACAAGTTGAGTCCAAAGTTGCTTGCTTCCTCCTCCGATCATGTGTGTGATGAAGTATGATGATGCGTGAGTGATATTAATGGGATGATGAGGTGAGTCGATGGTGAAATAAGGTGGTGTGCGTGGGAGGTGATGGGATGATGATGATGATTAAGGTGATGATGGTGGGATTTTTAAGGGGAAGAGCTCGAGGTGGTGCGGTAGCAAGGAGAAACGACCAGGAGTTGCAGCCGTGAGGGAGGTGTGGGTTTTCGGTCAAGTTCTCTGTCTCAAAAAATAAAACCCTAATCTTATTTTTATAGGCTTTCGTCAAACCCTATTTCTTCAGGAATAAGAAAGTTATTTTTTTTCAAGCCAATGTAAATTAAAACTCCTCCGGATGAATTTATTCGGCCACCCCAAAATCAATTTGGAAGACTTCTTCTTTGGCAAAATCCATAGAAGCTCAAATCGGTCAAATTCAAAACTAAATCCCGAAATTGCTTATTTGATCCTCCAACTCTTCAAATGCTTCAATTTCTTCCTTGTCAATTTATCAAATCATCAATTTTCCCTTTGAGTTGCTTTTATCTTCATTTTAGCCCAAAAATTCAATAATTTCTCCATTTGAGTACAATTCCTACAATTAAAGATAAAATCACATAAATGGCAAAAATGTATTCAAAATATTTGCAAAATCTCGCATAAAAGAATATTAAAAAATAGGTAAATTTTAATCATATCAAATACCCCCAAACATGAAATATTGCTTGTCCTCAAGCATGCGCAAGAATTAAAACAAACAAAATTTAGTTATTTAACTCGGCAGCCTCAGAGATTTAATATCATATAACACATAGATCTCGACTACCTCTAGTATGGACTACCCAACAATATGGAAACTATAGCTACTTTTAGCCCCCACGCTTGTGTGTCTGTGTGCGATCCGTTTCTTAGGGACATCACTTTACATTTAACATAGAAAACAAAAGCTCTACTGCAAATATGCCATTTTACTTTAACAACAGACTCACATTTCATACCATATTTCAATGCAATGGGCCGCCAAATATACTATGAAGTAGAAGGACTTATCTCACAGATAACCTATTCCTCCTCGTAACCCATACTACTGGTTTTCACATTTATTTCGAACCTAATCTCATTACATGGGCATCTTGGAAGCAACCCACTCCGGCTCGCTTCTCTACTGAAGCTGAGTTTTGTGCGATTGCTAATATCTGTGTTGAGTTGCATTGCTTGTGTCATCTGCTGTCTAAGTTGGGTGTTTTGTTACGTCGTTCTCCCTCTATTTAGTGTGACAACATTAGGGCAGTTCTTTTTGCTGCTCATCTGGTGTTTCATACCAATATCAGACATGTCGACGTGGATTTTCATTTTGTTCACGAACATGTTTGGCGAAAATTTGTTTCGGTACACTCTGAGCCTGCTGCAGATCCGATTACTGACATTTTGACCAAACCTTTGTCCAATGATTTATTCCTTCATTTTCGGGACAAACTTTGGTTTTTTCCTTGTCATACGTCAGTTTGTGGGGGCGTATTGTAATATATGTATTTCCTAGTGGCGTTGTGTATAGGGTTATGTTATAGTCTATATATATTGTGTATTGTAGATCAGAATACAATGAAGTACAATCCCTATTAATCTAACTTTGCAAAATCCCAAAAACCCCCTTGCAATCGGAGTCGACTTGGGAACTACTAATTCAGCATTGTTGTCTTGCAAAACGTTTGTGTTGAAATCACCCCTATTGATCAAGGTAACCGTAAAACTCCTGTTCATTTCATTGGCGCCGTCGCCAAGAATCAGGTTGCTATCAATCCCCTCAACACTGTTTGGCAAGACAATTTACAAAACCCTTTATTTTAACTGAGGAAATATCTTCTATGGTTCTTTCCAAGATGAAGGACACTGCTAGGCCTACATTTGTTCAACGACGGAAAATGCAGTTGCAACTGTTACTGCCCAATTTAGTCATTTGCAATGACTGGCAACTAAAGATGTTGGACTCACTGTTGGCCTCAATGTAATGGATATCCTTACAACAAGCCCGCTCTTGTCGCCATTGCTTAATGCTCTTGATAAGGAATCTAGCATTTTGCCCTATAAGATCATTCTTATCTTTTGATCTTGGAGGTGGTACTTTTGATGTTTTTGTTGTAACCATGTCGGTCTTATAGAAGCAACACAGATATTTAGAAGTCAAAGCCGCTGCTGGAGATAGTCATCTTGTAGGTGAAGACTTTGATAACAGAATGGTTAGCCACTTTGTTCAAGAATTTAAAGCGAAGCACAACAAAGATATCATAGGGCGATCCAAGAGCTCTTGGGAGATTGAGGCACAGCGTGCGAGACAGCAAAGAGCCAAAGATGATTCTCTCTTCTTCGACTTGAGTTTGATTCCTTGTATGAAGGTATTGACTTCTATGCAAACATTACACAGGCCGAATTGAGGAAATGAACTTGGATTTTTTTTCAAGGGTTGAATGGAGATTGTTGGCAAGTGTTTGAGTATTGATGCCAAAGGTTGTACTTGTGGACGACTCAAGAAGGATTCCAAAGGTTGAACAATTAATGCAAGAATTATTGAACCGGAAAGATATTCACAAATGTGGAAGATAATGAAGCTTCCCTTTTGTTTAATGTATATAAAGGTTAAAGATCAAGGACAACAGACAACAACCTTTTAGGTGAATTTGAGGTCTCTAGAATCCATCTAGAATTCAAATAAGTTCCTCTTATTAAATTCATGTTTTCAATGGATGGGGATGGCCTTCTACAAGTCTACCTGGAATATCCACAGTAGGCTCTACAAATCACATAATCCTTTTGAATAAGGATAAATGAAGATTATCTTTTGAAGAGATCCAGAACATGGCCAAGGAAGTCGAGAAACTCAAGGCTGAGGAGGAGGAATAAAAAAGAACGGTCACTGTCGAAAAGGCTCGCAAGAGTTATGTTCTCAACACAAGAAAGAAAATCAAAAGCTGGCATGCTAGTCAAAATATACCTTCGGGGATAAAACAAAGATTGAGGATGCTACAGAGAAGAAGATCAAGTCTTTGAATCAGAATCCTCTTGGTGTGACAGTTAGATATCAAGACAAGAAAGAACTGCTGAAGCTCTACGATGGTGAGGTTAGCCTCGTGAGTTGTACTACTCATTCAAAGAAGCAATGCATAATAATCGTTTGAGGTACTAGAGCTGCATGACTTAATGGGTTAGATTGCCTAAAATTTGATATCGGATTTTTGAGCCAGATAGAAAATTAATAATGTGTGCAAGTATTGTAATATTTGTATTTTCCATTGTAGCCTTGTGTATAGAGTTTGTTATTATCTATATATAGTATTGTATATTATACCTTACAACACGATAGAATACAATCCTTATTATTCTATGTTTGTATAGAGTTAGGGTTTTTTTCAATCCGTTTTCTTCTTTCTCACAGCCCTCTGCCAGTTCCTTCTCTGTAAGGACCGCCAAATTTGATGCTCCTCTACAGGGAACGAGGTAACCGTTAGTATAGAAGTGGGAAAACCTCTAAAGACCATCTAGTAATCTAAAGAAATTTGTCCTTAATGGTAGCTGGATATTGTATCAACATAAAAATATCTATACATGTGTGTTTGAATAAAAAAATGCTTATGGACCTATAATCAAATAAAACGTTAACTAAAACCTTAGGAACGGGTTATAATAAATTAATCTAGTACAAAATATATAATAGGAAGTTTAAGTAGATTTTATATCTTTTCTTTTCTCTAAACTAAATAGAGCCCAAAGAAACAAAACAAATTGGCTCTTTACTCATTTACCAAGTCTGATCAATTTCCTTCATTCATTGAACCTAAACGCTCAACTCCTCATTTATATTACCCAGCCCGTAGTTGGAAAAAATAGGGGATAAAGGAAAGATTTAATACATTAATGAAAATATTCCTTCACATTCCATTTCCCAGAACCCAAAGCTTCTCATCCTCCTATGCTTCTTCCACCTTCTACTTCCATTGTCCTTTACCTTACGGTTTTCACCGACCAACTCATCAATCATCACCAACTCAATTTTAGATCTGAAAATATATAAAAGGGAGAAGAGCTAAGGTCTCAAGGATAGAAGATTAAAAGGAGAATGATTAAGAGGAAGTACGGCCGAGAGACGATGAGAGGAGGAGAAGAGCAGTTGCTTGGAGGTTCGCATCGATTTTGTACTTCGGTCGACTAGCCGCAAATGAGCAGCGGCAACTGGGGTATTCTAGGATAGGTTAGCTGCAAAACAAGGTAAACATACTTTCTATTCAACATCAAATTTGTTAGTTTGAACTTAAGAAGTAATTGGGAAAGGAGGGAACTAGTTGTTTAGATAATTCTTTAGAATCGTAAATTCCCTGCAGCAAATATATGTTAAGGACTGTTAATTGTGTTCTTTAGATAAGTCACTAACTAATTTGAAGTCAGCCGTAGTTGGAAATTACTGAACCTAATTGGTATTTGGAACTAGAGGTAATCATTTAGAGTGGAATAAAGAACTTTCAGATTTATGTGGCTAACATTGAGGCTTCCAATCTCTATGGTTTTGTGGTAAACTCTATCCAACTTTTATTGTTTTTGAACGCTACACTTTAGGGTTCATTTCTTTTTTTGTGGTCTGTTAAAAGGTTTGTGGATTTCACCGGAAACTTGATCAAAACAAGATATGTCACTGTCCCACTTCCATAATTTTGCAGAAAAATCAGACTTGAGGCCCTCTGTTGAGAGGACATTTTCTCATAGCAATGGAATTCTTTTTCAGGATTTCTTTTCTTGAATCCCTTCTTCTTCCAGTCTGGTTTATTCAGGTTTTTATGGCTTGCAAAATGGATTGGTAGATTGTCCGAAACCTTGATTTGAACATGACCACCACTTCCTGAAATTCTGTCCCCAGCTGCTGTATTTTTGGGAGATTCATTTCTTCCATTTTGTTGAACTGACTGATGAGACTTTTTACAATAATTATCTTTTACCTTTATTGTAGTTGATTGCAGATTTTACGGTTTGTAAATTGGAGTTATGGATTGTCTGAAAAATGAATTTGAACTTGATTAACTAATTCTGGAATTTTCGAATGTCAGCCCTGATGCTGTTTTGCACATCAGTTTTCTCCCAATTCCTGAATTTTTTTCCCTTATTTCTTTGGTCAAAACTCTTCCTTGTTTACCCTAGTTTACAATGGTTTTAACGGCTTGCAAATTGGATCTTCAGTTTGACAAATAACGTGTTTTGAATATGCCCTGCTACCACAGTTTTGCTGAATTTTCAGAATCTGGGATTTTGCGTAACTTACATGGGCTGTGATTTCCTCTCTTCACGTGGGATTTCCTTTACTTTCATCCTTGTTAATCGAAGTATACGCCGAAACTTTTGGGAACTGAAAATTGACATCTCTGAAAATAGAAAATGCATGACAAGGATCAGTTCTTAGAAATACATCATAGGAACTTAGTCTTTAGAACCATTTAGTTAGATTTTTATGTTGCTAAGCAATAATAATTTTCACCATTGAATTTACAGATTTGCAGATTGTAGTGAATCAAATGGAAATAGGTGAGTACCTTGTCTCGCGCTTTGTATTGTAATCTTGTCTCTTCCCCTCAGTGCATGATTGTGAATGTGTGCTTTCTTGTGGATGTTTTGTGCTCGTGAGTATGGTGGTTCTGTGACTAATTGATTGTATTACCTTAACCCTTTTATGTCTTGTCGAAATACTTGCCTAGATCATTGATTGGCTGAGTACTGTGTGGTGTTGATATGATTGTCATGAATTTGTCAAGATATCTGTCAAGAAATATCCGAGTGAATTTTATACTGGGTTTAGCGGGAATGCCAGAGGGCTGTCAAGTCTTAATGCCAACGGCTTGTCATGAAATGCCCAAATTGAACATTGCCCTGTATTGAAAACCTTCGAGTCATTTCGGGCATTGAATTGCCTTTTGGCGCCCCAAATATTGACTTGGCTCGAAGCTTTGTTGACTTCCCTGAGTCGTTTTCGACATTGAATTGACCTTTGGTCGTTCCAAACATCGAATTGGCTCAGTGGTTGTCTCATAAATGATTGTAGAGACTATTGAATGTTTGTTGATATACGGGTATATCGTTTGTGTTATTGATGTGAATTCATACATTGTCAATGAGTTATTGTGTTCTTTTTAAGTTTGAATGCATGCTGTTATTATTGTTTGACTCATGTGAATTCTTTTGTGCGAATCTAGCTTGGGAGTCGACCAACATGGCCACATAGGCCCTTGGCGACTCTGGATCTTGAATGATTTAGTGATTGTATCAAGTATGGCCTTGGTTACAGTCATTTCCTGTTTATCTCTATTTGAATGATTATTATTATATAAATGCAATTCATTTCGTTGTCGCTAATGCTCTTGGGCTATGAATTAGAATGATAGAACTACTCAAGTAGTATCTTTAATTTAAATAAAGGATAAAAGTGAACTATAGGAATAAATGCATGTGCATGTGACTCGATTACCGTACAGAGTCGTGAGAAATTGGAAGTTTGTTGATAGGTATTCACTGGGCTATTAGTTCATCCCATTACTCTTTCACCTCATGTTAGCGAATGAGCCGAGTTAACATAAAGCTTGGGGACGAAGATAGATAGTGAACATTTTTTTAGTCTAAGGAGGCTTGTAATTTTGAGTATTTTGATTTTGTGAAAAATATCTTTTGTTGTAAATAAATTTTCCACTGTACAATTTAGAATTTAAATTTGTAATAGATTTAGTTGGTTCTGTATGACTGATGCCTTGGGCAAGAAATTGTCCGGCGGGCATCCTGACTCACGAACCTTTTTTATTGTTTTCTTTCTAAACTATAATTAAATAAAAAAACTCATGAAATTGGGATGTTACATTTTCTGTCGTTGACCGCGCCGATTCTTTTGCTGCTGGCGTGGCTTTTCTTTCACATTCTTGTTCTCTTTTTTTGGCCTGTCGACTGTCGTTCGTCTCTTCCGGCAAATACCTTATGCCAGTAAAATATATACACTTTTAGCAGACATTTTTTACTCATTTTTATTTAATATTAGGTTTCCATTAAGGAGAATTAGTTTAGTTTTGGGTTGATTTTATATTTAAGGATAATTAAAGGATCAATGTGGAAAATCAGCATAAATGAGGGCCAAATTGCGTAAAAGAGCATCATTCTGAACTGAAATGGAAGTTGCTGGAAATCAAGCAAGTGGAGAAATTCTTACTGAGAAAGGAAGAATGGCAGCAGATGATCACAACCTGGAAAAATCTTTAGCAGCACACTCAATTGAGAAGAAGAAGGGCAGCTGTTCTACTGCCAAGTTGCTGCTGCAGTAGCAGTTGCTGTTGTCAATCAAAGAGGAGCCATGAGCTGAAATCTTTGTGCCTAAGGA